TTGGCCGCCGCGGGGATGGTATTATCATTTTTACTTGTGGGCAGAAAGGGCAAGGCAAGGCCTCTTTTCCTTAGGCAGGTGTAAAGAAATTAAGCATTCTTCCCTTCTGTAAATAAATAAATAAAAAGGAGGCAGAACAATCGAAACTGGGGAGACTTGGAAAATGCTGAGGCCAAACTTTCGATATTGATTTATTGGGGCCAGGAGAATGGAAGGTTGGGAAGATTCTGGGGCCTTTTGACTTCCTTGGTTCTTTATTACTCCGGGCTTGATTCCGTCTCACTTTTTTCTGCCATTCCACTGAAATACCGAGAGCTGAGAGCCCTGGGAAGTCGCAAGTGAGCGATTTCATTACTTTTATGCTGAAAAAATGTTTTCTTCTTAGAGACGACCGTTGGACTTGGAGTGCCTTTGAAATATTTTTCTTTCACTGGCTTTCTAATGACGTGGAATTCTTTCTTAAATGCAAGAACCTAAGCAAGCCACTGAACCCGATCCACACTTTGCCCCTGGGTGGTGGTATTAAACTTGTCTCTGTTTTGGAGGGAACAAATAAGACATCATTCATAAGACGTGCTTGATTCATATTTTCGTTAATCTCTTCGCGGAACATGAAAGAAAAAAAAAACCCCTGTGACATTTTGGGGGACTTAAATTTGTGTTTGGGTGTGTAGACATTCTTGATGTTTATTTTCTTCTTTTTTCATTAAATGAATTTAGTGAACGTTCGTTTCTCAATGCGGTTCTGGAATTAAATGGGCCAGAGGATTTTTTTCTTAAACAAAACCCCCACTTTTGGTCCTTCTTGAAAGGGCAAGTCCAGGCTCCTTCCAGTCACCCCTTTCTCTCCTTCGGTAATGAGGGCGGTATTTAAGATAGTTGATTTGGCGCTTTGTAGGTGATGATTTAGAGGAGGGAATGCATGTTTACTTTTGAAGAACGTAAGTCAAGGTCTGCATTGTATTTAGATTTCATTATGTCTTGAACAGCCTGAAGCTGGAATGTGAGAAACTGGCCAGTGAGAAGACCGAGATGCAGCGGCATTATGTCATGGTAAGAAAACTGTGTCACAGATTCAAAGTGCCTATTAGTTTAGGATACCAAAAACAAGGAAGGGTATGTTCAGATTGCTGGAGGCTGTAGGATAGATCCCAGTCACAGTGCCAGCGTAGTTGAGGTTGTGGGAGTGTGACCATTAGCAACCTGTAATTCCAGGATGTTAGAACTTGCCTCTGACAACCAGCTTTGATTTCATTTTCAAAAAGTTCAGCTGTGTGGGGTATAATCCTCTGGGCTTTGTTTTTATAGATTGGAAAAAAAAAAAAACCCAAAAAACAAACAAACAAACCCAAACCTCCTTTATGTTTTGTGTAGAGTCACAGGCAAAATGTTTCTCTGTTAGTGGTTTTCTTTGTTGTTTTATTGTTCTTGTTCCAAACAATCTTAACGAGTTTTTCCGTACACAGTTATATTTTTAATGTTTCATTTCTCTTAGAGAATGACAGATACCCAGACACCAGACACCTTTTCAAATTTTTCCCGCTTTTTAGGTTACTAGTTTGTGTGTCTTTGCATGTGTTTTGTGTGTTTTCAATTTCTGTGGTGTTCCATTGGTTTGAGGAGTATTGTCGGCCCCTGTATAACTGATTTGTTCTGCCAGAATTTCTGTAATGACAGTTACGTTACACGTCCAAAAAAGAAAAAAAAAAAAATCAGATCTGCTTTTTCAGAAGTCTTACCAAGCATGTTTTTATGCTTGTTCATAAAGGCTTCAGAGTAACTCATTCATTTCCTATCAAGCCCTTTTCCTTTGAATGTATGAACATGAGCAGTACACTAAAAATGAGAGAACTCTGAAGTAGCATCACATTTCTGAACAGTTCTTTCAAAGCGTCAGCGTTTGTAGGAGACTCTTGCCATTAACTTGCCCGCTGTGCCTAGGAATTAGAGTCCATATGGTACCAAATTTTCATCAGACCTTTTTGATGCATCTGTTTGTGATGTATAAAGAGAACTGGCGGTGTTAAGAATGCTATGTGTGAACTTGATTTTTGTGAGTTACTTTCCTAGAGTCTGTGTCTTAGGGTGGCTTCTAGTTTATTCAGCTAAGTGTTCCTCTTTAGCAGCATAAGTATTATGGTTATTTTGGTTTAGGTGAGGCTTTTACGTTTGTTTTAAACACAGTTGGAGCATTGGGAACAAACTAGGGAGACCAATGAAAAGCACGAAATTAATTGCTTTCCCTTCTTTGACAGTATTATGAGATGTCCTATGGGTTGAATATAGAAATGCACAAGCAGGTAAGTTACTTCTTTATACCATTTGAAATGACAGTAATACTGTATACTTTAGAAAGAAAATTGTATGTTTCGCAATTTTATTCTGCACGTTTTTGTGGCTGTCTGTATTTTAAAAGACTGTACGGGAAACAATGCTATCTTTTCAGGTGTGGTTCCCCATCCTTTTTGCATATTCCCCTAATTTTAATCATTTAAAAACATGACTTAAAGTGTCTGAATTCATATTAAACTTTGTACACTTTCAAAGGCAGGATGCTAAATTTTAAAATAGGTTTTGTTTTTCTTTTGAAAGAGTTAATGTGTGTATTTCAGGCATTGCAAACTTGTCCTAGGAGAGGGCTTTTCTTAGCGAATATTAAAAAGAAAACTGTAAATTGTGTGGAACCTTCCTTGGCTTGGTGTGAAAGAATGGATAGAGGGTGAGCTGGGAGGATCAAAATGAAATCTGTAGCGCTACAAAAGAAATTGATGTAAAATAAAATCCTTGTACCAGTCCCCCGAGGCTACTTAGTTGGGTCTTACTAGGAATTGTAACTGTACTTCCAAAATTTGTGCAGTAAATTGAGCCAGATAGGAGGTTGTGATCAGGTTCAACACCACTGAGTCTTCAAATCTAGTAATTAGTTCAGCCAAAAAACAAAACAAAACAAAACAAAAACCATAATGATTAGTCAGAAAGTGTTGAGAGGTATGACTCAAACAGCTTTTTTTTTTTTTTTTTTTTTTTTTTTTTTTTTTTTTTTTTTTTTTTTTTTTTTTTTTAAATGCAGGCAACTGAATTAAATGGTTTGGTTTAAATTTTCTAGATAGAAAAATAGCATATATGTAACAAATATTGTTTGGCAGCAATAATTTATTTTTAGTGATCTCCTGGTGAAAGTGCTTCAGGTCTGTTTCATCAGCTACTTTAGAATAGGTGTGTGTGTGTTTACCTGCTGGGAAAAGATGAGGGAAAACTTAATGCTCTTCATTTCTTGTTGATGCTCGTGGTAGATATCCTTATTTTCTAAGTTTATAACCTATAAAATGGTCACATATTAGGCTTTTAGTACTTACGGATTCCTTTCTGGATATAATCACATACTTACAGGTAGTAGATATTTAAAAGATGCGTGTTTTAAAAAAGCCATCAGATAGACAGTATTTGAAAACAGAAAGTTGGAAAAAGGGAGTTGTTACTTAAGCTGAAGACTTGATTTCAGGTACTTTTGTTTTTATCATATGCTGTTTACGTACGTCAGTATTAACACAATATAGTTTGCTGCGTATTAAAATATCCCCTCCAAAAAATCCATCAAGCTTATGGATGGACTCCTCTTAGCTGTACCTTACAGGAGTAAATTATATGAGAGAGATTGTTTGTTAATTATGCTCATTACGTGTCATTTTAGGTCTGGATCTTGTACGTGTCTTTTTTTTTTTTTTTTTTTTTTTTTTTTTTTTTTTTTTTTTTTGTCCTCACCCCACCATCCCAGGATTAATTAGTGTCTTTTTAAAGATTGAACCAGATGATTAATGTTCCTTTATTTCTCCTCCTGTGTCTTATTTACCATAACACTTAGTTTCCAGATCTCTTTATACATAACATTTACAGTTCTGAGAGACCCAGAGCTTGTATTTGATTGTATGCATTTCTTTGGCGAGGGGGGGGATTGTGTGTGAGATCCCTTAATTTTACACATTTTGTACCCCCGTAATTCTGTCATCCTCTTGTCCAGGTGGCCTCACATGCCGTCCATTTAAAATTGAGAATGGAGTACATTTTCCCTTTTTTTTTTTTTCCCCTTGCTTTTAAAATTCAATCATATCAAGAATCCTGAGGGCAGTTTATCACATTATGAAATACAGACAGCCCTGCAAACCACCTACTTATTATATTTTCTTTCTTTCCCCCCTTAAGCACAGAGGCATATCTGTCTTTATTTGTTTTCCTAGGCAGACAGCCTTGGTTCCTCTTGGCCTCTCTTCCAGATGCACTCGCTGGATACCCTCGTAATGGAAAGCAGCAATAATGCAGGGAAGTTGCCCTGCGGCATAATTGGGCCTAGTTCTCAAGATCGGGTTAGGCTTATTCACTTATTAGATTTGTGTCTCTGAAGGGTTCAAGAGTAGGAGTCCCCGGAGTCCTTGGAAGTACCCTAGTAATTGGTGGCCCTGATATTTGAAACCTTTGTGTATTTTTTGGTTAACGCTCCTGTTCTTCTTAGCTGCTGCCAGCCACAGAGTATTTATTTTTAGAGAAATTTTTCATTGGAACAGAAAATGATGGCTGTGATGGAGTCATGACTCTGTGACTTAGCAAATTGATAAAAGGATAAAAGCATAGAGCGGTGACAGACAGGGTGGGGGTCTGGTATTATGGCCCCTCCCCTTTCTGTGTGATGTTCGTCGTCAGTCACCCTGTGTTGATTCTGATAGAAGACTATAGAGTGAAATCTATGGGGAATTTGTCATTCTGAAATGAAAGCTAATGTAATTAGTACCAATTAAAGTACATTTAGTAAATTGGATTTAATCTTAATTAAGCCTGCATAATGTTGCCAATTTTTAACAATTATGTTTGAGAACATAATTAATTTAAATTTTGGTAACTGAGTAAATAGCATTAGTCTGGTAGAATTAGTTGATTTTTTTTTTTTTTTTTAAAAGGAGAACTGGGTGACATGACATGGAATTAGAGCATAAAATATGAATCTAATTTCTGCTACTCTTTAGTAGGATCGATAGAGCTGAGCCAAGGAAGCTGGAAACAAACCCAGAAAAGTTAGAATGGAGCATTGTAGGCCATAATGTGAATTAATGCTTCACCACTGTCTCAAGTTCCAGCATGAACACGAAGATGACAAATGGGACATAGTTAGAAATGGCACATGTTTTACTGTGATGTCTGCATAATGGAATTTTTTTAAATGAAAGAACATTGGCCTGTGTTCCCTAAGGATTTCCCAGTGAGGTTTTTGGGTTTTGTGTTTATTTTTTGGGGTGGATGGGACAGTTGGCTCACGGTTTACTTGTTACTATTTTTGATGATTTTTTTTTTTTTAAGTTTTATTTATTTTGAGAAAGAGACAGCACGAATGGGGGAGGGCCAGTGAGAGGGGGAGAGAGAGAATGCCAAGCAGGCTCTGAGCTGCCAGCACAGAGCTCCATGTGGAGCTTGAACCCACGAAACCATGGTGAGATCGTGACCTGAGCCGAAACCTAGAGTCGGACAGTCAACTGACTGAGCCACCCAGGCACCCCATTGATTGTTCCTCTTTATAAATGCAGTGCGGCTTCTAAATGGGTCAGTGACCCTGGGCACAGCAGGGTGATGCATGCAGTTGATAACATTGCTAAATGCTGCTCATTCTCATCCTTCACCTGTAATGCTGTAATTAAAGAAGACCTCCCTGATGTAATCTGACAGCAGCAGTTACCTCTTTAAAAAGTGAATATTGGATGTTGATTAGGAACAGTAGGTATGTGAATTCCACCGAGAGGAGCTGCGAACGGAGATGAATATACCACGTTTTGAGGACATCTTGTGACTTTCTCATAGTCAGTCTTCTGTAATCTGAAGGTCTTTTTGCTTCTAAAAAAACTTAGCTTAGTATTTGAATTTTAGAATTAGAAAAGTATGGAAATCTACAACACTTAGAACCTAAAAAAGTAAATACTGTGCTCTCAATATACACGTTTGTGTGTTTCTGTGCATGTGTGTATATGTGTGTGTGTATTTTTATATATAAATATAATTATTATTTTTTAATCAGAGCAGGAGAATTCCTGTTTCACTCCAAGCCATGTAAATTTTATTATGAGACTTGGGCCACAACCATTTGAGTGCTGCTAAAATATTAATTGAATAGAAATGAAAGGGCCTTGCCAACTGATAGGATATCATAATCATAGCCTCTCTGGTCGATGGTAAATGATGATAAATGACATTAGGAACCTTTTAGCAAACTGTAATAACTACAAGGAGGGAAGCAGTATGGATTTGCATTATATCTGATACCCTCTAGTACCAAGTGGATTGCCAATACTGCTTGTTTAGCATTTTCTAAGGGCAATAGGATATTGATTTCTGACTTACAAGGAACAGCTCTATTTTCACCATTGAAAAGTATTGCAGGTTGTTAAGAAGAAATTGACTTGAAGAGGCCGACTGCTGCCCATCATGGAGCAAATAAAGCAAAACTGCCGAAGCATGGTGGAGCAGCGAGACGGGCCCTCAGCAATTTGTTGCTATTAATTTACCATGCTCGACAGCAAATCAATCGGCATCTACTTCATCTGCTGGAGAAAATGCTGTCCAGGGCAGATAAAAGGCTCGGCATGGTACAGAGAATAGACTGGATTGGCCAAAAGGAGGCTGCAGTTAATGTGTAAATAAGTGAAATCAAGGCCACTGTTGCAGAGGAAGCTGTTGTTAATTAGGTTGGTGCTTTTTCGCGAACTATTTGAGAAAGTAGCCCAGGATTTGAGGAATAAAAAGAGATTTATTGAGGTTGAAGTAATATATGACTGGCATCACATTCCAGCCTTGAGTGGTCTTGATGCGAGGGTGCAGTAAATTTATTTAGGAACAGTGCTTGCGATGGAGGTCCATTTGTTTAAAGTTCTGCTTAGAGCAGCTTTGCCATAAGAAAAGTATTGTTTAAAAATATTCCTAGTTTCTTACACACCTTTTGTCTTGGACAATAAGTGCTTGGATTAGGAGGATTAGGTGCACGAATAGGTGTTTGAGAATGTAGGCAAAAATGTGTCTTGTCTTCCCGCACAGTGACTAATTATTTTTTCCAGAAATGAACGATCGAACTCTTGTATACTAATGAAAGTGAACTATTACGAAAGGTGGGATGTTCTAGCTGAAAGGAATAAGCCGATGAAAATTTTACTGGCAGAGCTTTCTTTTGCTGTATCAACATTAGGGTAATAGTCTAGAGGTTGGTGAATAGTGGGTGGACACTACGGCTCTGGAAAATCTCAAAAGAGATTACAAGTGAGATTTCGAT